TTGAGAACTCCGAAGGCCAGCTCACCATCGACTTACTTAGAAGAGTTCACCTCGTCGCCCCCGATTCTACGCGAACTTGTTTCGGATGCGGAAATCCCAAGGTCATCAGATGTCAGTGCTCCAAGTGTCACTCGCTTGACAGAGACGCCAAAGGACGATTCGCACAGAACCCTTGGCGATACCTGACGCCAAAAACCGCAGCCTTCCGCGGGTCGACTTTTTTACCGGTGTAAATCTCTCTCTCTCTCTCAATCAACTTGTTTCTGATGCGGAAATCCAAGGGTCATCAGAAACGAATGCCCCAAGTGCCGCCCATATAGACCTGACGCGAATGACCGCAGCCTGCTGGGGACCAATATAAAAATGGCCCCGAATCTACCCGATTGGTACTGGGTAATGGAGGGGACATACATTTGAGACCGAACGCAGTTGTTTTGATACCTAGTTCTCTCCCTAACTGGTGGGGCAACAACCGTTTTCATGAAGAAACGAGGGTCATCTGGGTCCCGGCATGAGTCCAGGGTATTTTATCAGTTTGGAAATTTCTTACATTTCCCATCCAGAAAGGCTCCTCGACGAATTACCAGATGGAAGACAGAGTCATCCAGGCAGACGATTAGGATCATACCATTCCTCAACCGTCACACCATACCCAGCGTCACCGGATGACACCGGCACCCCAAGCTGGGGTTCAAAAGGGGGAGATTGTTACACCACCCGCTCTAAGAACCAAGACGCGCCCCCAAGGCAAGGTCCGCGCTCTCACCGCAGGAGGAAAGAATAGAGAGGGAGAGTTAAGCAGACGGAAATAGTATACAAGTATAAATTGCGCACAACTCTTGTGCGAGAAATCGAAATAGCTTTTGTTTTGACATCACCAATGGATATATTTCTTGCAGACGTCTCAATCGTCCTTTGTGAGTACCCTCTTGCGACAATCCGTTCTTGAGTTATAAGGGTATATACCCGATCACGATAAGATGTCGAGGAGGAGGGTTATGGTTGGTAGAAATTAATTCCTTTCGTTGAGATCTTTCATTAGAGTACCATGAAGGATAAAACTCCCCCCCCCCTCCCCACACTTGGAAAGAAGGGCAGTAGTTGGCAGAAAACGATTCCCGAGACAGTTCCTTTCGTTGAGATCCTTAATTAGAATACAATGAGAGATAACATTAATTTGAACCTCCCCCCCCCCAGGCCCCGGCGAACCTGGGCCACCCGGTCCACCTGGATTACCTGGAGACACTGGATCAGGCGTAAATAACGAGTACAAATTTCGTGCAATTCCAGGAGAACCGGGACCTCCTAGGCATCCTGGAGAACCGGGACAACCTGGTGAGCCTGGCCGCTCGGGCGAACGTGGAGCGCCCGGTCCACAAGGACCACCAGGGCCCCCTGATTCTTCAGGAAAACGTCATAACATTCCAGGACCTCCTGGCCAACCTGGACGACCTGGTGATCCAGGCGAACCTGGGCGACCTGGTGATCCGGGAGCACAAGGAAGTCCCGGTGAACCTGGCCCACCTGGATCTCCTGGAGTTGCTGAAGACTATTCTGACACATACCACATTCCTGGACCTCCCGGACAGCCAGGACAACCTGGACGGCCTGGTGAAGGAGGAGGGCTATGGTTGGTAGAAATTAATTCCATTAAGTACCATGAAGGATAAAACTCCCCCCCCCCTCCTCCCCACACTTTGAAAGAAGGGCAGTAGTTGGCAGAAAACGGTTCCCGAGACAGTTCCTTTCCTTGAGATCTTTAATTGGAATACAATGAGAGATAACATTAATTTGAACCCCCCCCCCCAGGCCCCGTCTCTCACTAATCTCGAAAAAGGGTCGGTTATAGTTTGTACAAACCAATTTATTTCGATGAGACTTTTCATTAGGAATACCATGAAGGGTAGAACATGTGTCCCCCCCCCCCATTTTCTAAAGTTTAACTTGGCACCACTAAAGGCATGCGTATGCCAAATCTGAGACCAATTGATTGTCGTATGTAAAAGTTATGCACGTTTTACTTTCAAAAACACCATCTCATGAAATAATTCGGGGGGGGGGGGGGCTTTTAGAGAGCGAATTTGATGGCCGTCTGGCACACCTTCAAGGTATAAGCTACCTACTGCAAAACATTCCAAGACTCTAGGGGACCATTCCCCTAGATTTAGTTCGAAACGGCAGAAGTGGTTTTTATTACTAAAAAATGCGCTAAAAAAAGAAGATGGAAGAAAGAGGACGTGAAGATTAGAAAGGCAGAAAACTTGACAGAAGAGAACAAATTACAAAATGAGGAAGAGGGTGGTTAAAGAGTTTACATTGGTGGAGAGAGGATGCACGCATGGGAGGAAGTCGTACAGAAGAGAAGGGTGGAGGGGGGGGGGCAGGATTTTTTAAATAGTCTCGTTTGCTGGGGAGTATTTCATGAAGATGAAGAAGAAAGGCAGAAAATAAAAATTTAAAAAAAAGGAACAAAGAAGATAAAAAAAGGCCAATAAGGACACAGACAGAAACACAAGGAAGAAGAACAAAAGGAGGAAACAAAGAAGAAGGCGTAAATCGCCGAAAGATAAAGAAAGAAGAGGAAAACATGAAGACGAGGAGGACAAAGGTGAAAACGTAGACGAAAATTTAAAAAACAACTGTAAAAATAAACAAAATGATAAAGAAGACAGAGAAGAAGGAAAATACAAAGAACATCAAGAGAAAAACAATATAGGGGAAGGATGGGACAAGGAAAAAGACGAATTTAACAATATAAAATCCGAATAAAAAATTGAGCAGAAGACATTTATTTGATTAAGGATTGGCTAACTTAGAAACAAGAAAAACAAAAACATAAAAAGTGGACGAAGAAGAGCAAGAGGTAAAGGAAAACACTCAAGCAGAAAAGGACGACAATCTAGGAGACTAAAAAGACGAAACCAAATAATACGAAGAAAAGGATGAAAACGAAGGCTCAGAAGGGGAAAGGCATAAAAGTCAACAGATAATAAGGAGGTGGATGAAGGAGAAGATTATGTAGAAAATGCCGAAAAGAAATGCAACAAAGTATAGTAAGAGGTAAACGATAAAGAAGGCGAAACAGAATACCAAGAAAACAAACATCAAGGACAAGAGGACGAACAAGGATGAAAAGGAGAAAGAAAGTGGAAAAGATCTAAACAAGAGCAACGAAAAAAGAAGATAAAAGTGAATAAGAAGAAAAATGTAGTAAACGACAAGAAAAAACAATGTTGAAGAAGAAAAAGCTGAAAATAAGGAAGAATACGAAGAAGAAGAAACGTGGAAAAAACAGAAGAAGGATTAGAAATATATTCAAAGAAGAAAACCAATAAGGCGACACAGAAGAAGACAAACAAAACAAAAAAGAAGTAAATAAAGAAGAAGACAGCAAAGAGAAAAAAAGGTGACGACGAAATAAAAAAATAAGATTAAGAAGAATGCAAAGGAGAGTCCAACGAAAAAAAATAAAAAGAGTGATGAACAGAAACCCAAGAAAAAAATCAATAATGAGAGGATAAGGTCGAAAATAAAAACAAAGAAGACGAATAAGAACCCGAAACGGAGGCCCATCAAACTCGAAGAAAAAATAAACCGGTTCGAAAGGATAAAGGGTAAAGATACAGAAGAAGAGAAAAAAGGGAGATTAAAACGAAAACTATTAAAGACAAGAGTATAAAAGACAAGACAGAACAACAACAATAAAAAAAAGAGACACAAATAAGATAATGAAAAAAACTACAAAAATCGGCCCCTGAGTTTGACGCTGACCCATTTTGCAAGGTCACCGCCAGGTGCCGATCGACCTTTGAACTTCTCTTTGGCCTACTTTTTAAGGTCATCGTCTATAGCGAGTAACATTTAAACCTCAACAGATGGGATAAAGAAGAAAGAGGACGTAAATATTAGAAAGGTAGAAAGAGAAGAAGAGAAAAAGTTACAAAATGAGGAAGAGGATGGCTAAAGAGTTTACATTGGTGGAGGGAGGATACACGCATGGGAGGAAGTCGTACAGAAGAGAAGGGCGGAGACAGAGCGAAAAAATGAGGGTGACAACGTCTTGTCACAGACAAGGTGGAAATATGAAAGGAAACCTTTTCTCCTTCTTTTTCTGTTCTTTCCTTTCTCGCTCTTATGCTCTTTCCCTTCTCTATGGGCCCTTTGTCATTCGTTACTTCTCTAACGTCTTCTTTTTGTATCCTTCTCGTCTTCTCGTTCACTTTCGGGTTTTACTCGCCCTTTTTCTGTTCCCCTCGCCCTTCGCCCCCGTCACCCGCTGTCCGTCTCCTGCATTTTCTCCTTAATTCTCCCAACCCCCGTTTTCTCCTCATACTGCTCCTCATTTTGAGGATGAACGGAAACACAGGGGATGATAAAGAAGGACACATAGATACGTGAGGGGGTGAAGGTCGGTAATCAATTTCTTGAGAAAAAAAGGAAAAGTTAGGGCTCTACACATTTCAGTTGAACTAACGATGTTGGCAACAGTGGGTGTGGGGGGGGGGGGGGGACGTAACGTCATATTGTGATCATGACCAGAACTACGTTAACGTGTTTCAGATGCGGACGCCACGAAGTCGTAAGAAGTCAATGCCCCAAGTGTAGCGAAAACACGGGTGCCACGTAGACCATTACCATAACCTGTTCAGTAAAAATTCATACTAAGAACAGGGACGTAATCGTAAAGAGACGTAAAAAGAAAAACCAAAGCATAAGCGTGTGCGATGACAATGCCAACACTAATTTATTAACCGAATGTCCAATTTTATTGAAAAGCGCAAACGTACTCAATTTGAATTATTGATTAATGATAGAGTTTGCACAATTAATTACGTTACGCGCGATTCAATTAAATGCACGCCATAAATAACACGCACAATAATTAATGTCAACCCGAACAAACGCCGGTTAATTAATTCGCGTCCTGCGGGCTCTTATTTTCACGTTACGTCATTATAGGCCGACGTTTATTACTCTAATCGAACCGGCCCAAATTTCAGAAACCCCCTCTGAAACGAGAAGATTCGTTTTTGAAGAGGTTTTCCACGCGCCAAATTCCGGAAACGCAGGAAACGGTCGAGGATACGGGCAGCGAGGGCGGCAATGCTGACGATTCGAAATCGGCGCCGCGCAGACGACGAAGGATAAAAAGGAAACCGCTGACCGTCGTCAATCCCGACGAGAATTTCTACTTCTACTGGCTGATGGTCGTTACCGTTTGTTTACTGTACAACATGTGGACGTTGATAGTGCGGCAGAGTTTTCCGGAGTTTCAGGTAATGTAGACAGTGAGAGGGTCGCGAAATCTTAACTTGGAAGTTTTACAGGTGATGCTCTCTAGGTTTTGGATTTCGTGCGATTTAATTAGTGACGTTGTGTTCGTTTTCGATATCGGAGTGCAATTGCGTACCGGTTACTTAGAGCAGGGTCTAATGGTGTACAATTATAAAAAATTAGCGGGACATTACTTAAAATCACGTGCCTTTCTTTTGGATTTGGCGGCCCTAACCCCCTTAGATATCTTACAAGTGCAAATTGGAGTGCATCCGATTTTGAGGTTTCCTAGGTTTTTTAAGGTGAGTTTCGTACAACGCGGACGTCGGCGAGAAACTGGGAGAAATCTGTGCGTACGATAACGGAATCGTTCTAATAAGTTTGTGTAGTGAACGGCAGGAAAAGCGATTTCTGCTTATCGTCTCGCATTTCCCGTCCTCTTTTTCTATGTTTAATAACTTGTTTCAGGTTTATCGCTCCGTTAAATTTTATTATATCGTTGAGTCGCGCACAGTATGGCCTAATCTATGGAGAGTGATCAATCTAATACACATCCTTCTGATCCTCGCCCATTGGTTCGGCTGTTTTTATTATCTACTATCGGAAGCTGAGGGCTTTCAGGTGAGTTATGTCCGGGGGCGGCACTGATATATGTGCGAATGTAAGCGAGCACGCCAACGCGTGCGGGATAACATCATTTTGCATGCCATAAATTTGAATTAATTTAGGCGAAATAAGATGAAACAAATTTCAGTTGAGCAACCAAGACAGACGGGAGTTTTCAGTAGTTTATTTAGATGTTCCAAACCTGTATGGGAAGTTAGTTTCCTCTGTTCTCCATTTCCTTGATTCTACAATTATTTACACGATCCGACCAGAAAATAATATTGCTAAATGCTAATTAAGCTTCATCCCCCATTTCAATGTAGATTTCTTAAAAATTCTAAAGATATACGCGATTATTGTATACGAAATAATTGCGGGTCCAATAGGTTGCGGCAAATTTCACTTCGCCTGAGAGTGAGACTAATAATTTTATATGAACGGCTCTTCGCTTGCCTATTTGTTGGATTGCGGAATTTTGAGAGATCTTAAATGAAAAGTAACGTTTCCATTGAAGTTTCTGAGTAGAGGACTTTACACGAAATAACTGCGGGTCCATCTGGTTGAGGCAAATTTTACTTCATATGACCAAATCTTATATAGATTATTGAGTCACTGGTTAACGTAAGTGTAACAGTAGAAACGCGATAAATCGCAACTGTAATTGAATCAAATGTTTCTCATTTCAGGGTGATTGGGTGTATCCATACCGTCCAGGTGATTATGCAACATTAGCTAGAAAATATTTAGGTTCACTTTATTGGTCTACTTTAACTCTCACAACCATTGGAGATCTTCCAACCCCAGAAACAAACGCTGAGTAAGTTTTACAAATTTTTGAAGTGTTAAACTCGGAGAAACAAAAGTAAGAGCTTTTGAAGTACGCGCTCGACATTCTTTTCACGCGAATACGCAAACAGCTTTTAATTAAAACACCGCTCTTGTTCTAAATCACCGAGCGTTTAGTCAAAGTCAATCACTCCTCGGCTCCTTTCGAAAGATTAATGTTAGTAGGATAAATATTTTCCTAAATGAGGATGTAGTGTTTTTGTTGACGGGTGTTTTCGGAAACATCCTGCGACTTCGTTTATTATTAATGGTTTTACGTCGATACAGTTGCCCTACGTCCGAAATTAAAATCTATCGCTACATTGCGACCCAAAACAAAACGTATTTTTAGCTTATTGATCAAATATGAACTTATTAGGTCGCGGGGGGGGGGGGGGTTATGGAATACCCCTCAGTCACACGCAGGTCTACTCTTGGAAAGAAAAGAACTTACTCCCAAAATTGTTAAACTTTCTAGCCTCGGGGGGTCCGGAGGTATGGAATACCCACCATCTACACTCAGAGATACATTTTCTTTGAGTATTGATCACGAGAGTTGTGAATGTCAAAGAATTTGAGAGAAATTCAAGCCTCGGGGGGTCCGGGGGTATGGAATACCCACCATCTACACTCAGAGATACATTTTCTTTGAGTAATGATCACGAGAGTTGTGAATGTCAAAGAATTTGAGAGAAATTCAAGCCTCGGGGGGTCCGGAGGTATGGAATACCCACCATCTACACTCAGAGATACATTTTCTTTGAGTAATGATCACAAGAGTTGTGAAGGTGAAAGAATTTGAGGGAAATTCTAGCCTCTGGGGGTCTGGGGGTATGGAATACCCACCATCTACACTCAGAGATACATTTTCTTTGAGTAATGATCACGAGAGTTGTGAATGTCAAAGAATTTGAGAGAAATTCTAGCCTCGGGGGGTCCGGAGGTATGGAATACCCACCATCTACACTCAGAGATACATATTCTTTGAGTAATGATCACGAGAGTTGTGAATGTAAAAGAATTTGAGAGAAATTCAAGCCTCGGGGGGTCCGGGGGTATGGAATACCCACCATCTACACTCAGATATACATTTTCTTTGAGTAATGATCACAAGAGTTGTGAAGGTGAAAGAATTTGAGGGAAATTCTAGCCTCGGGTGGTCCGGGGGTATGGAATACCCACCATCTACACTCAGACATACATTTTCTGTGAGTAATGATCACAAGAGTCGTGAAGGTCAAAGAATTTGCGGGAAATTCTAACCTGGGGGGGTCTGGGGGTATGGAATATCCACCATCTACACTCAGAGATACATTTTCTTTGAGTAATGATCACAAGAGTTGTGAAGGTGAAAGAATTTGAGGGAAATTCTAGCCTCGGGTGGTCCGGGGGTATGGAATACCCACCATCTACACTCAGACATACATTTTCTGTGAGTAATGATCACAAGAGTCGTGAAGGTCAAAGAATTTGAGGCAGACTCACACCGGGGGGTGCGAGGGGTCTGGGGGAATACCCCCAGCCATGCACAGGTATGCCCCAAGAAAGAAAGACTTTCGGAGAATTCGTTTGGCAGATGAATAGAACATCTATTTCCTTGAATGTCCAACTGAATGTGGCTCGGGGGAAGGGGGGGGGGGTATTTCATACCCCCACACCCCCCGGTTGTGGACTCGAAGGAGGGTTTTTTAATGCATTTCATTGTTTACTGATACAATCGTTTAGCTACTACAGGAAAACGTGTCCCTTTCTGGCATACCCTTGCATTCCTGCGATCCTGGTGTTAGGAGATCATGATACGTTAGGATGTTACCCACACAAATGAATAAGAAACCATTTTTATTGAGTTTCTGTGTTTTCAATACGATAACGAAATGGATCATTATGATCTGCTACGTTTCTGCGGTCCCATTTCCTAAACAAATTTGTATCAGGAGAACACGATTGGTTCTCTTTCTTGATTCTTACACAATAGTCTGTCAAAAGAAATCTGCATCAGGAGAACAGGTTAAGTTAAAAACGTTCTGGATACAATGACTTTCGCGCGCACCTAATGTCCTTGTTCTTTCTGTGCTCCTAATACAATGATTTTTGCGTAATGCGTATTACAGAAGCTCTTACGATGTTAGTTTTGATTATTGTTTGTTTTGCTAATGTTCTGTGCATCTAGGAATATCAAGTCGGTGGACGGCCCTCGGTCCCTGCCGCGTCGAGGCATCAAATCACGCTTGCTTCAGTTCCGAACAAATAAAGGGTACGTGACAGTGATTCTTTAAAGTACTGTCGCGGCAGGACTGAAGGGCTGTTCATCGCTTCCCAGTTGCCTAATAAGTGACGTTACGGAATGCCATTACTCAAAGTTATCGAACAGCCTTACTAAGCCAGTCCTGTCGCGGTAGCCCTCCCCCTATCAAAAGAAAACTTGTTCGAAAACTTTGAGTGCTGAGGTGGTGCCTAATCTGGCCTTTGCTTTCTTTCAGATATGTGTTCACAATTGTAAGTTATTTAATTGGAGTATTTATCTTTGCTACGATCGTAGGTAAGTTGGACGGATCGTGAACGTCTGGGCCAGTTCTAATCGAAGCCGTCTGTTGCAGGACAGGTAGGAAATGTGATAACTAATCGTAACGCCAATCGTCTGGAATTTGAACGCCTTCTCGACGGTGCTAAAACGTACATGCGACACCACAAGGTGAGGAATCGCCTGAGGTCCCTGAAGTTGTCGAGTCAATGTTGTGCTCATTTTGTGCTAATTTGTTATTTGTGCGGACGTGGCAAAATTTAATTTAATTTAATTTAATTTAATTTAATTTAATTTAATTTAATTTAATTTAATTTAATGTAATTTAATTTAATTTAATTTAATTTAATTTAATTTAATTTAATTTAATTTAATTTAATTTAATTTAATTTAATTTAATTTAATTTAATTTTAAATTTAATTTTATCTAATCTAATCTAATCTAATCTAATCTAATCTAATCTAATCTAATCGAATCGAATCGAATCGAATTAAATTAAATTAAATTTTGCCACGTCCGCACAAATCACCACAAATTAGCACAATTCACGCACCCCCCGGTGACGCGCCCTGAAACGTTTAACTTGCAGGTTCCCGGCGGAATGAAGCGGAGGGTGTTGAGGTGGTACGACTACTCGTGGTCGAGGGGTCGAATCCAGGGCGGGGGCGACATAAACACCGCCCTCGGATTGCTCCCCGACAAGCTGAAGACGGAGCTGGCGCTGCACGTCAACTTGAGCGTGCTGAAAAAGGCAAGGCGATAAAAATTGGGGCGCTCGCTCTAGATTAACTCCGCGCATAATTTAGGTGACGATATTTCAAGAGTGTCAGCCGGAATTTCTCCACGATTTAGTTCTAAAGATGAAAGCGTACATCTTTACGCCCGGCGATTCCATCTGCCGTAAGGGAGAGGTGGCGCGGGAGATGTTCATCATCGCCGACGGCATCCTGGAGGTGCTTAGCGAGAACGGCAAGGTGCTCACCTCGATGAAGGCCGGCGATTTTTTCGGCGAGATCGGCATTCTGAACCTGGACGGTCTTAACAAGTAAGTCGAATCTCCCCCAAAGCTTTGTCACTTAATGACGTTGCAGGCGCACGGCTGACGTCCGATCCGTCGGCTACTCCGAGCTGTTCTCGCTGTCGCGCGAGGACGTGCTCGCCGCGATGAAGGACTATCCGGAGGCCCAGGAGATCTTGCAGAATTTAGGGAGGAAGAGACTGATGGAGGTGAAGGCCTCCGCGAAACAGGCGCACCATCGCAAGGACTCCCGCTCGGAGCACGGGAACGTCGACAAGGGACTCGTGGGGAAAATTAGGCACGAAGCCAAGGTAAAAAGGGACGCCTTTTGAGATTACTCACCCACGCTTCCCTTGCAGGGGTTAAGAAAGGTGATTAAAAAGTCGAGGACCCGTCGATCCGACGACGAGTGTTTAGAGCTGCAGCCACTTCACGCGAAGGAGGATGGCGGAACCAAGAGCGTCCTCAAGAGGATGTCGCGGGTGAAATCGCACGATCTGAGCCAGGAGGACTCGGGCAGCAACGAACAACCGCAGAGCGAGCCGGTTACGTCACCGCTGGGAGCCGGACTTCCTCTTCTGGCACGATTGCGGTAAGCAAAGAAGGGGGGTTGTTTGAAGGCGAGGGTCGTGACGCGCCATTAAATTAATGTACGCCGAAAGTGGGACAACTGTTTTAATTGCGTTAGCGACTCTCTCCTCAGACCGAGCACTAATTTGCAAATACATTCATCAACTCTTTCGAGAGTAATGCCTTAATATTTTATTACCGCGGAGACGGCGTCGCTTTTCCTCTTGGTTCGCGAGCAATTAGTGTTACCAATATTAGTCTTTCTCGAATAGTTCACGAGACGACACAAAATAAGAGAGATCTCTTTCGTTGCCCCTTGAAAACTCGTCATATGGAAGTAATTCTTTTTGTTGCGGTTAACAATGGCGTTTCGTTCGAAGTATACTTATAGATGTGCACAATGGAGGTACGTGCGCCTTTCCACTTACGAATTGTTACTTTTCATCCAATTTCCAGAACTAATACTCCAAACTCTACCGGCTAGACGTAGTTATATCTTATCGCAATCGGAAAGTTCACGTAACGTAACATTTAGCTATGAACTGGATTAAATAAATAGTTTAATGTGTTTGAACACGATATATTCACTACTTGTTTATTTACTTATTTATTTATTTATTTACGGTTGCCCATTATATAACAAAGAGAAAAAAAACACATTGTTAACAAAACTGTAAGAGACCATGATCATATAACTGGACAATATAGAGGGGCAGCACGTAATATACTCAATTTAAATTGGCATAACCCAATTTTATTTTAGTGCGCAAGTGCGGAAGTTCTGCATACGTTTTCAATTCCGTTTCCGTCTCCGATTCCGCTATTTGATAACGGTGTGTGTGTGTTTAAATATGGCAAGTTAGCCTTGATTTGCCTTCTTTTACTTCATTCTTGTATTCATCATCTTCCATTGCTTTCTCTCATACTTTCTTCTTCATCTTTTCTTTGATCTTCTTCTTTGCTTTGTTCCAAGTGTTCTTTGTCTCTCATTAACTTTTTACTTTACCTTCTCTCTCCTGCTTACTTACTGTCTTCTTTCGCGTCTTCCCATTTGCTTTCTTCATCGCTTCCTTCGTGTTACTCTCCGGTTCTTCTTCTCTTCATCTCCTTGTTTCTTCATTTCTATTGTATTTCTTTAACCCTCTTTCATCCCGCAGTTGCGTGGCATCAAATTTGAATACGACACAAAATCAACTCGCACCTACAGCAAGATTGCAAGTAAAATTGTTCGTTTTTTGCGTATTCTTTTTCGTCATCGTCTCCTCCTCCATTTTTTTTGTTTTCTGCTTCGCCTTTTGTGTTTCCTCATTCTTTTAACCTTCTAAGCCTTCTTTTACGTTTGTCTTCTGCTCAATCCTCTCCTGTACCTCTTGTCCTTTTTCGCTTCTGGTTTAATTCTTTGACTTTTATAGTCCGCGTTCCTATTTATCGTCTTCGCGGTCTTTACCTTCGTGTTATTCTCCACGCTCTTCTTTCTCTTCTTATTAATGTGTGTCCTTTTTCTTCGGTTTTTCTCGTATTGCACCACCTTAGTCTTCGACGCCATCTTATTCTTCTTTATATTTTCTTTTCCATTTTTCTCCGCCTCCTGATTTATTTTCTTCAACGTTTTTTCTTTGCCGTCTTGGTCTGCACTTTGCTATACTTTCTCTTCATTTTCATGTTCTTCTTTTTTTTTAACCTTTTTGGTCTTCCCCTTTGTATTCCTCTCTTCATCTTTTTTCTCGGGTTCGCCTTCGCCTCTTCTTTTCTTTGTTTCTTTATTTCTATATCTGTATTTCTTCAGCCCTCTTTCATCCTGCAGTCGCGTATAACCAAATTTGATATAAGCTTAAACTGAACCTGGAATCGAAATGAAATCGCACCTAAATTGAACCCTTTCCCCCCGGTAGGGCAGTCTTTCACAAATCGTTCAATCCTTCAAGACTCGCTTGACAGTTGTTGGGGAAGAATTATGAGACCCTCTTCTCCATAGAGAACGTAAAATCAGGGGGGGGGGGGCTTCTTCTCTACGCCCTTCCTCTTCTTTTTTTGTTTCTGTCTCATATTCCACCGCCTTAATCTTCTTTATCATCTTCATCATTTTTTTTACATTATTCTCGTCTTCTTACATATTTTCCTTTTTTTTCCGCCTTCGTCTGCATGTTTTTTTTTCTTATGTTCTTCCTTCTCTTCACTTAGGTCATCTTCTACGTTCGATTCCTTTCTCGCTTGTTCGTCTTCTTTTGGTCTTCTTTATTTTCTTCTTCAGGCCCTTCTTCGCCGTGACCGGACTCCTTTTTCATTCTCTCATTCGTTTTTGCTTCTTGATTTTTATTGTCTAGCTATTTCTTGTTTTATCTTCGCCTACCTATAATTCTACTTTTGATCTTCTGTGTCATGTTGTTTTTGGTCGCAACATTCTTCTTCACCATCTTCATGCATTTTGCGGTTTTCTTTGTTGTTTATTCTTTTTGTTTCCTCATCTTCTTTATTATTTCCTTGACATTTTTGTGGCCTTCTAATCGCTCCTTCTATTTCCCTCTTTGCCTCTTCCTTTGTCTCCCCTTGCAAGTTGTATGGTTTGTTATTCTTCCGTCTTCTTCTCCATTTTCCTGTTCCTCATCTCTTCTCATGCATCTTCGTTTTGGTCTTTTTTCTTCACGTTCTTCTTCGCTTTCGCTTTCGATTCTTCTTCTTTTGTCTATTTATTTTTTGTCTTTCTTCAGTCTTCTTTCATCCCCAGTTCAATGTCTTTCGCCACCTTGCGGTGACCTCGGACCTTAGTCGAGGTGAAGTCAAAGGTCTTCTGCCACGTGTCGGTGACCTTTGAGAGTAGGCCAAGGAGAACCAACCCGCAAAAAGGAATGACTCCAGTTGTGTGTCATATTTAATCATCAAGGTCATCAGAGGTCAATTGGACCATTTTCGTAAGTCAATGTGAGGTTTAAATGTTACTCGCTTCCAACGATGACCTTGAAAAGTAGGCCAAAGAGAAGTTCAAAGGTCGATCGGCACCTGGCGGTGACCTTGCAAAGTGGAGCAGCGTCAAACTCAGGTGTCGATTTTTGTCGTTTTTTTTTGTTATCTTATTTGTGCCTCTGTTTTATTAGTGTTGTTCTGTCTTGTCTTTTATACTCTTGTCTTTAATAATTTTCGTTTTAATCTCCGTTTTTCATCTTCTTTATCCTCTCGAACCGGTTTATTTTTTCTTCGGGTTAATGGTCCTCCATTTCGGGTTCTTATTCTTCTTCGTTTTTATTTTTGACCTTATCATCTCATTCTTATTGATTTTTTTCTTGGGTTTCTGTTCATCTTTCGTTTTATTTTTTTTCGTTGGACTCTCCTTTGCATTCTTCTTAATCTTATTTTTTTATTTCGTCTTCACCATTTTTTCTCTTTGCTGTCTTCTTCTTTATTTACTTCTTCTTTGTTTTGTTTGTCTTCTTCTGTGTCGCCTTATTGGTTTTCTTCTTTGAATATATTTCTAATCCTTCTTCTGTTTTTTCCACGTTTCTTCTTCTTCGTATTCTTCCTTATTTTCAGCTTTTTCTTCTTCAACATAGTTTTTTCTTGTCTTTTACTACATTTTTCTTCTTATTCACTTTTATCTTCTTTTTTCGTTGCTGTTGTTTAGATCTTTGCCACTTTCTTTCTTCTTTTCATCCTTGTTCGTCCTCTTGTCCTTGATGTTTGTTTTCTTGGTATTCTGTTTCGCCTTCTTTATCGTTTACCTCTTACTATACTTTGTTGCATTTCTTTTCGGTATTTTCTACATAATCTTCTCCTTCATCCACCTCATTATCTGTTGATTTTTATGCCTTTCCCCTTCTGAGCCTTCGTTTTCATCCTTTTCTTCGTATTATTTGGATTCGTCTTTTTAGTCTCCTAGATTGTCGTCCTTTTCTGCTTGAATGTTTTCCCTTACCTCTTGCTCTTCTTCGTCCACTTTTTATGTTTTTGTTTTTCTCGTTTCTAAGTTAGCCAATCCGTAATCAAATAAATGTCTTCTGCTCAATTATTCGGATTTTATATTGTTAAATTGGTCTTTTTCCTTGCCCCATCCTTCCCCTATATTGTTTTTCTCTTGATGTTCTTTGTATTTTCCTTCTTCTCTGTCTTCTTTATCATTTTGTTTATCTTTACAGTTGTTTTTTAAAATTTCGTCTACGTTTTCATCTTTGTCCTCTTCGTCTTCATGTTTTCCTCTTCTTTCTGTATCTTTCGGCGCTTTACGCCTTCTTCTTTGTTTTCTCTTTTTGTTCTTCTTCCTTGTGTTTCTGTCTGTGCCCTTATTGGTCTTTTTTATCTTCTTTTTATTTTCTGCCTTTCTTCTTCATCTTCATGAAATACCCCCCAGCAAACGAGACTATTTAAAAAATCCTGCCCCCCCCCCCCCCCCCCCCGCGGTAACACAATCTTTCACAAACAGTTTTGGCTTCAGGTCTCAAATAATAGGGGGGGGGGAGATTTGAAGCCTAATTGAAACCATTATTCTTTGTATGTTCAGATTGCTCAAGGAGAAACAAGAACATGAAGACCGTACAAGTTCGGCGAACGCTTCGTTACTATCGCCGTGTCCGACGGCGGCGAGAAGTCCACCCCTCCCCGACGAACAACCGACCGGTTCCGGTCTGCCGTTTCTTCAGCGGGTGCTCCTCTTGAAGAACAGAGACGAGCCGTTGACGCTCTCGTGCAGTCAGCCGACGAGTCCGACGACGACGACCACGATCCCGTCGACGGCGAGCAGGAGTTCGATATCGTTTCCGGCGAGCTCGTCGAAACCGCTCGCCATACCGTCAATTGCTCATCGCATTTCGTTTAGGGACCGACTGAAATTGCACAAGGACAAGGATAAGGTGCTAACGATACGCGAGTCGAAGGAGAGCAAGGAGCTGAGGGAGTCCTGTGACATAGCGGAACCGTCCAGTATACGTAGTGATAGCGTTAGTGACAGTGAGAGATCGACGGAGGCGCCTTGGAGTAAACTGAAGAAGGCGGCGATCGTGCGCGACGCGAGTGATCCGTGCTTGGCGCCCGCGAAACCTCGCGAAAAGGCCGTCGCGGCGAAGGAGAGCGCGACCAAATCGAAGCCCTCCCTGCTCGTGCTGAACCGCGAGGTCAAAAACTATAAGTCGATCGAGGACCTCTCCCCCGAGTACGGCGGCCTTCCCTTCGTCAAAAAGCTAAAGATCTTAAACGAGCGCCAGAAATTAGCCGAGTTAGAGTCCGAAATAACGAAACGTAGCTTTAGTTTAGACATTCCAGACCAGCTGGGCGCGAAGGACGACACGCTGACGAGGTCGCGATCGGAGGGCAGCAAAATGCACGAGGAGCGCCCGACCGATAAACTGCCCTCCAGCCCTTCCCACTCCGAAAGCAATGAGACTTTGGAGCGCAGGCACCTGAAGTCGATTCTGAAGAAGCTATCGGAGGAGGTGCAGGTGCCGAGCTCGGCGCCGCCGGTCGTCGACGCGACCGAGTTCAAGAGACTAATGCGAGCGCCTACGATTGAGGGGTATGCGGCTAGGCATAGTAAACTATCTAAGAGTGTTACTTTTAATAGAGATACTTTGCCTAGCCCACCCGGGTTGGTTAACGCCCTAGGTGGGTCCCAAAATATTTTCCCCGGGCCCATCCCTCAATCGGGGAACGGGATCGGCGAGGAGCGCGAGGAGGAGGGTGGTAAAATGCACGAGCTCGAGAAGTACGGCGTACTTCTGTCGTCGAAGGCGAATCAGATGAGGCTTTTTAAAGGTGGGTAGTCAAAGAAGGTGCGTGATCCCTTAACCCTTTTTTTTTATTTTGTGCGATATTACATTAGTGTATTGTGCTCCTAGGCTTTTACAGCTTGTTTTAGATTTCCTGGGTTGCGTACCTTTACACTGCCCTTGGCTGAAATGCGTTAGTGAGATGCTGGCGAAGTTGTGAGTATACCTACGTTTTGCGCGTCTGACGTCAATTCCAATGCCGTAACCTCCATGTCCGTGGTATCCACCTCGTCCACCATAACCGGGACCGCCATTACCAGTGTTAACGTTGACGTTTCCACCATACCCGCTTCCAGATCCGCCTCTACCGGTACCGTTTCCTGATCCTCCGACGCCGAACCCGGTACCACCTATGTTGCCGCCCGAAATATTGGTTCTTCCATTTCCATCGCCGCCGACACCCCAACCGCCGTTGCCTTTAGAACCGCCGAGTCCGGGCCCACCCCATCCGGAACCGCCATGACCACTACCTCCATTACCCGACGTTATTCTAACACCTCCACCTGTTCCCGTTCCTGATCCTCCCTGGCCTCCGTTTGCCGTTCCTCCAACGCCGACGCCCGTTCCGCCCACCTGCCCGCCACTAATATCAACAGATCCAGTTCCAGCACCCCCCTTCCCGTTTCCGCCGTTTCCGATCAAGCCACCAATCAACGATCCAATGCCGAATCCGTGATGTTTGTGGCAGCGTGGACGCGAAGTTGTCGGTGACGATCCGTCTCCGGTCGTTGATCTCGGTGTTGGGTCCGTCCGGTCGTCTGTTGATCTTGTGTCGGATGTTGAGCCAGTTTCTCCCCCCGTCGGGCTTGTCGTCGAAGATCCATTGGAAGATCCGGACTCGGTTGAGCTTGCAGGCGAAGCTCCATCAGAAGATGAGCCCGTTCCGGGCTCGGTTGGGCTTACCGGCGACGACCCATTGGAAGATGAACCCGTTCCGGGTTCGGTTGGGCTTGTGGGCGAAGATTCGCTCGTGCTTGTTACTGGTTCCGTTGAACTTCTGGGCGAAGTTGATCCGGTCATAGGTGAAATTTCGCTAGGCGTTGGAGAAACTTCAGTGGTGCCTCCCGTTGATCTTGGTGTCGGAGGTACAACTGGTCCAGGACCTAATCCTAGGTTTCCAGTTGTTTAGGTTAACAGTACGCCGAAATACATACCTGGATAGCACACCCATCGACAGCTTCTGTGCACACGGAACCTCTCCTCGTGCTTCTTCTTCTTCAGCTGACAACTCAGCTGCAGGACGGCCAAGAAATACAAACACAGCACAATCCTCATCTCGCTTTTACGCTTTAACTCGCAACGCTCGCGCTTTTTATACAAACACCAGCCCCAGAAGAATGCTCGCATTCTCCACCAAAACTATGCACGGCTATCGCTTATCGCTTTTAGTGGCGGGCGCGCGCGTTTTTCGCATGGCGCCCTTGAAATATTCGAATTGTAATCGCCTCCTTTATAGGTACGATAGAGGAGGACTACGGAGAAATGCTTATAGCGATTAAACAGATAATGACGAACCAAATTCAGGAAATGCAGGAGAATTTTCAGCAGAAGTTCGTTCGGCTTGAAAATGAAATTAAAACGAGGGACCAGATTATTAATCAGCTACGAGCACATATCCTAGATCTCGAAAGGGCAAACGACAGCTCAATTACGGTAAGATTTCACATTCGCTTAATTAATTTAATTAATTAATTCTTTGGAACACAATTAATTAAGAATTGACACCTGATGACACAATTCCAGTTCCATAAACTTAGATAGTCGTCAACATATCCCTTAATTAACTAATTATTCAGTACTAATTAGCAAATTAAACAATTGACAGGTGCCGCTAAATTATCTCGTCATATGTGAAATAATTAATTATCCCATTTTTAATACAATTATGCAACCAGCAGTACTTTATTGCTGAGAGCCGTATGCCATAATTATAGTAATTAACACAATAATTAAAACAGAAGGTACTGGCAATCCTCATGTTTTTCTCTATTAGTTTTTAATTAGGCTTTAATTAATACATCGTAATTACCATGGATCAAAAATCTCTAATTGGAAAAGGTTTGTATAAATTAGCTTCCTTAATTCGAGTTATTCTCGTAATTAAATTAGTAGATAAGAGAGTAATTTTAATTATTTCGGTTTAATGGGAAGAGAAACGTTTGCTTATTAAATTAGTTTTAATTAACAACAGACTATTTTCCCTATATAATAAATGATCTTTGCTCATTAATAATAATTTAAAATTATGTTGTCTTCAAATTAACCGTTAATTAGAGACTGATTACAGCTACAAGGAAAAGAAAGGAAAGCATTCCGAAATAACCAAGAATACTGCATCAAGGTGGAGACTAATTAGAGATTAATTACAACTTCAACGGGAAGAATTAATTAAAATTACTACATTAAGATAATAAGATCACTACGACGGTTAACCCCCAGTTAAGGAAGTTAGCATCGAAAATTTAATTTGGCAACGAACTGTTCTTTTTCAAAAATAAGAACAAGAGAATCAAGGGAACGGTTTCCGAAATAATTCACTTACTTGTCTCAATTACTGTTAATTAATTAATTACGGTTAACTCTTAATTAAGGAATTAACAAATCAGTGGATTTTTTTAATTCTTGGCTACTTAGTGCCCAACCTTCGAATGGTCAGCGCCCGATTTCCTTCGCCCCCTAATGACCCGCGCCTTTTTGTATTTACTCGCGCCCATTTGTCACGCGCCCTCTTTGCTCTCGCGCCTTTTTTTCCCCTAATAGCCGCGGCACAACGTCTACGTCCTAATCGTAATGCCCGACTCCGTCCGTGAAATCTCCCCCACCCCCCCTCGCCCCCAGCAAACGAGTGAGTGGATGACTATTTCCAAAAATTTTGGTGGTATTTTGGAAATGGCAATGGAAGTGTCGTCTCCTGGGGTAACAACCCAGTAACACAACCCTTCACAAACCGGTTAGCATTCGGGACTCTCTTGACAGTTGTCGGGGAAGGATTATGAGGCCCTCTTCCCCATACTGTAGGCTGTTGAGAAAGAAGAACTACGGGTTGGGGGGGATATGGAACACATTACCCCCTAAACCCCCCCGGTTACACAATCTTTCACAAACCGTTTAGAATTCATGATTCTCTTGACAGTTGTTGGGGAAGGATTATGATGAGGCCCTCTTCTTTATACTGTAGATAACGTAGAACCGGGGGGTGTGGGGGTATAGAACCCCCCCCCCCCCCGTAATCGAGAGAATCCACTCCATTTTCGCAAAATGGTGTTATATTGTGGTCACTGGAAATGGCAACGTAACTGTCGTCAAACCCCCCCTCCCCACTGTCGGAAAAGAAGCTTCAAAAACCGTTTAGAATTCAGGATCCCTTGACAGTTGTTGGTGAAGGATTATGAGGCCCTTTTCTCTATACTGTAGATAACGTAGAACCGGGGGGTGTGGGGGGTATAGAGTACCCCCCAGCAATCGAGAGAATCGACTCGATTTCCGCAAAATTGTGTTATATTGTGATTACTGGAAATGGCAACGTAACTGTCGTCAACCCCCCCCCCTCCCGGAAAAGAAGCTTCAAAAGCCGTTTAGAATTCAGGATTCCCTTGACAGTTGTTGGTGAAGGATTATGAGACCCTTTTCTCTGTACTGTAGATAACGTAGAACCGGGGGCTGTGGGGGGTATAGAGTACCCCCCAGCAATCGAGAGAATCGACTCGATTTCCGCAAAATTGTGTTATATTGTGGTTACTGGAAATGGCAACGTAACTGTCTTAAACCCCCCCCCCCCACTCCCGGAAAAGAAGCTTCAAAAACCGTTTAGAATTCAGGATTCCCTTGACAGTTGTTGGTGAAGGATTATGAGGCTCTTTTCTCTATATTGTAGATAACGTAGAACCGGGGGTGTGGGGGGTATAGAGTCCCCCCCCCCCCGTAATCGAGAGAATCCACTCCATTTTCGCAAAATGGTGTTATATTGTGGTCACTGGAAATGGCAACGTAACTGTCGTCAAACCCCCCCTCCCCACTGTCGGAAAAGAAGCTTCAAAAACCGTTTAGAATTCAGGATCCCTTGACAGTTGTTGGTGAAGGATTATGAGGCCCTTTTCTCTATACTGTAGATAACGTAGAACCGGGGGGTGTGGGGGGTATAGAGTACCCCCCAGCAATCGAGAGAATCGACTCGATTTCCGCAAAATTGTGTTATATTGTGATTACTGGAAATGGCAACGTAACTGTCGTCAACCCCCCCCCCTCCCGGAAAAGAAGCTTCAAAAGCCGTTTAGAATTCAGGATTCCCTTGACAGTTGTTGGTGAAGGATTATGAGACCCTTTTCTCTGTACTGTAGATAACGTAGAACCGGGGGCTGTGGGGGGTATAGAGTACCCCCCAGCAATCGAGAGAATCGACTCGATTTCCGCAAAATTGTGTTATATTGTGGTTACTGGAAATGGCAACGTAACTGTCGTCAACCCCCCCCCCCACTCCCGGAAAAGAAGCTTCAAAAAAATTCGGGATTCCCTTGACAGTTGTTGGTGAAGGAGTATGAGGCCCTTTTCTCTATACTGTAGATAACGTAGAACCGGGGGGTGTGGGGGGGTATAGAGTACCCCCCAGCAATCGAGAGAATCGACACGATTTCCGCAAAATTATGTTATATTGTGATTACTGGAAATGGCAACGTAACTGTCGTCAACCCCCCCCCCACTCCCGGAAAAGAAGGTTCAAAAAAATTCAGGATTCCCTTGACAGTTGTTGGTGAAGGATTATGAGGCCCTTTTCTCTATACTGATAGATAACGTAGAACCGGGGGTGTGGGGAGGTATAAGAGTACCCCACCAGGCTAATCGAGGAGCATCGACTCTGATTTCCGCAAAAATTGTGTTATTATTGTGATTTACTGGAATGGGCAACGTAACTGTCTTCAACCCCCCCCCCCCCTCCCGGAAAGAAGCTTTCAAAAGCCGTTTAGAATCAGGATTCCTTGACAGTTTGTTGGGAAGGTTTATGAGTCTCTTTCTCTTATTGTAGATAACGTAGAAACCGGGGGTGTGGGGGGTATAGAGTACCCCCCACCCCCAGCAATTGAGGAGAATCGACTCGATTTCCGCAAAATTGTGTTATACTGTGATTACTGAAAATGGCAACGTAACTGTCGTCCCCCCCCCCCCTCCCGGAGAAGAAGCTTCAAAAACCGTTTAGAATTCAGGATTCCCTTGACAGTTGTTGGTGAAGGATTATGAGGCCCTTTTCTCTATAATGTAGATAACGTAGAACCGGGGGCTGTGGGGGGTATGGAATACCCCCCCCCCCCCCCCGTAATCGAGAGAAACGACTCCATTTCGCAAAATGGTGTTATATTGTGGTTACTGAACATGGGAACGTAACTGTCGTCAACCCCCCCCCCTCCCGGAAAAGAAGCTTCAAAAACCGTTTAGAATTCAGGATTCCCTTGACAGTTGTTGGTGAAACATTATGAGGCCCTTTTCTCTATATTGTAGATCACGTAGAACCGGGGGGTGTGGGGGGTATAGAGTACCCCCCAGCAATCGAGAGAATCGACTCTATTTCCGCAAAATTGCGTTATATAGTGGTTACTGGAAATGGCAGTGTAACTGTCGTGTACTGGTTCCATACCCCCCAGACCCCCCAGATTCTCTTGTCCGTACCGAAGAAAACTTAGAAGTGGGTTTTTTTAAGGAGTGAACCCCCCAAACGAGAGAATTTCCGAAAAATTATGTTAAATGTCACCACTCTAATTAATTAATTAAACAAATTAAATTATCAAAATTAAATTAACCCTTGGCGGTTAACGTTTAATTGCGAGAAAAGAATTTAAAATCAAGCACTAATTATAGAAATTAATTCCAACTTCAACAGAATGGGTAGAGTTTCCGAAATGCTGTTCACTAAGATAATTACTGTTTTTCTTCTTATTAAAAGCAAATTGGAGGTTAATTAAAACTTGAACAGAAAGTAGAAGAGTTTTCAAAATAATTAAATTTACTGTCACTGCTAATTTCTAAATTGTAAATAGGTACAACTTAGTTAACCCTTAATTTAAAGAAGCTAGCGAAGAGAAACTGAACTGTGTCTGTTCAATTAAAAAACTCATTTGACACTCCAGTTAGTAGATCACTATGTTGTATGTTAATTACAAGTAATTAAGTAATTTCAAATGTAGGATTAGTCAATTTTGACACAACTTTCCTTAAACTACCATTAGTTATAAGCAAACTGTTAATTATAGAGGGACCGGCTTCCTCTATCACTATTCAATAATTATATTAGCAATAATTTAAAGTGCTAATTAGTGGCTAATAATTATTAGAGATATGGTTACAATTATATTAGTTCATGGAGATGTTCTAAGTTTCATCAGTGGTTAAATTATTCATTAATTCAATTTCAACTATAATATCTTGAATATAAAATTAGTAGACCCAATTTTAACAGGAAGTAAAACTTATAGTTTTTAATTACAGAATTGAATAATTAAAATCATTAATTTGTCGTTTAATTGGGTAAAAAATGCAATTTGTATGTAATTTAAGATGCATTGAAGCATTTAGGGTCCCAAATTAATGCCAATACGTGGGCACATAATTACCGTTACCGCAAGAGGATTAATTTGTGGATAAATAATGAGGCACTTAATGATTGCGGACGTAATTTGCACTCCGCTTATGACCATCTATTTATTTTAGGAGTCAATCGACACTATCGCCAGTCGTATACCAGCCTCGTGGGAGGATCCGTCGACGAACGAGTCGATCGAAATCGAACACCTTCCCCGATCGATCTCGCCGCGCCTACACTCGGTAATAGTCGACGTCGAATCGGATACCGACGCCGAATGCGAGTCCGAGTTGGGCGACTCCTCGGAGCCCGGCTACGAATCGGGCGAGTACGAGAACAACTCGAATTGGGAACTCGAAATGCTCGCCGATCAGATGCGGAAGAAGCGTTCGGCCAGCCTCGATTACGGTAGCACGTCGAAGCCGCCGGTCAGGAGGCGCGTTCTGCGCGGCGGCAGTGCGGACACACACAAGTACGACTGACGCAAAGTGGTTTTTGTTTGGTGCCTATTAGTAATCAAAAAGAGTCTATCGAACGTTATGAAAGAACCAAATATTCTATTCCTGTTTTTTTTGTATTAGGAGAAATTTATACGTGATTTATTTGGACGATCCCCCCAATCCCCAACGATGACGATGTACAAAATGATGTCCTAACAAGTCTTATGAATGATGAATCTCGCTTAAACAATAAGAGAAGTAAAATGACGAAATGTATTATAGAGTGCCAAATTTTCCGTTTTGAAAACTCTACAATATGTGATTTTCTCTTGTTTTTCATAAAAACGAGTGCCGACCTAACTATAGAATCTCGAATTTTAGGGAATTTAAATTTAAATCAGCACAAACTCCTCCCCCCTCCCTCCCAGAGAGAAAGTGATGTTTACGAATAGTTATTATTATCGCTATTGGTTGTTACACAATTTTTACTTACTAAGAGCCAAACTTAATTCAGTAGATAGTGAAATATTTTTAGATAATAATAAATTAAATGATGTAGATATTATGTATAAAAAAAAGAAAGGTGAAATGTTTCTTTCGTAGGAGTATAAGGTCACATAAATTATAGAAAAATAAAACAACTAATTCATTAAACTGTTGAATCGTTTTGTTGTGTCTTACTTGGATACGAATAATCTAGGTCCTTACCCCCAAAATGTGACGTAACGTTATTAAGCCGTTATTTCCTGTAAACTTCACATACCACGAATACGGGTCTTGACCTAGGGGAATCCTCAATTAAATTTCTATGAAGGTCGATGATACTTCAGGAGAAGATTAATTAGGAGGTGTTGTAAATTTGGCGATTCTATTGTATTTCAACCGCCGTGAATTAGATATCCCAAGGGCATCATAACAAGATCAGTTTGTTATTATAGCTCATTTAGTTTTTGGATTTAAGCAGTTTAATTTCAAATCAGAAGCCCCTTAAGGTTATGGTATTTTTTTTATATTTGTATGTTCAACCCATCGTCGTGCTTTTAATGGAAAAGGTGTCGTGCAATTAGGAGAACATAATGTACGAAGGGGCTTTTTCTATCTCTGTCAGAACTATTTCAAAGGTTTCATTCGATTTCAAAATTTGACAATTCTGTTATGTTCTCTCTTCGTATATTATGTTCTCCAAGTAGCACGACACCTTTTGCATAAGTTTGTCGACAAGAAACAGGTGTAGTATTAGGAAAAGAAACACTTCCTCGCACTCATATGATCCTGAAAGAAACACCTCCTCGCACCCATATGATCCTGATACAGAATTGGCAAATTTTTAAATAGAATGAAAGCTTTGAAATAATTCTGACAGAGATAGAAAAGTACCTCTTCGTATATTATGTTCTCCTAGTAGCACGACACCCTTTGCATAAGTTTGTCGACAAGTAACAGGTGTAGTATTAGGAAAAGAAACACCTCCTCGCACTCATATGATCCTGATACAGAATTGGCAAATTTTTAAATCGAATGAAAGCTTTGAAATAATTCTGACAGAGCTAGAAAAAGACCTCTTCGTATATTATGTTCTCCTAGTAGCACGACACCTTTTGCATAAGTTTGTCGACAAGTAACAGGTGTAGTATTAGGAAAAGAAACACCTCCTCGCACTCATATGATCCTGATACAGAATTGGCAAATTTTTAAATCGAATGAAAGCTTTGAAATAATTCTGACAGAGCTAGAAAAAGACCTCTTCGTATATTATGTTCTCCTAGTAGCACGACACCTTTTGCATAAGCTTGTCGACAAGAAACAGGTGTAGTATTAGGAAAAGAAACACCTCCTCGCACTCATATGATCCTGATACAGAATTGGCAAAATTTTAAATCGAATGAAAGCTAAGAAATAGTTCTGGCAGAGCTAGAAAAAGACCTCTTCGTATATTATGTTCTCCTAGTAGCACGACACCTTTTGCATAAGTTTGTCGACAAGAAACAGGTGTAGTATTAGGAAAAAAAACACCTCCTCGCACTCATATGATCCTGATACAGAATTGGCAAAATTTTAAATCGAATGAAAGCTAAGAAATAGTTCTGACAGAGCTAGAAAAAGACTTCTTCGTATATTATGTTCTCCTAGTAGCACGACACCTTTTGCATAAGTTTGTCGACAAGTAACAGGTGTAGTATTAGGAAAAAAAACATCTCCTCGCACTCACATGATCCTGACACAGGATTGTCAAATTTTTAAATCGAATGAAAGCTTCGAAATAATTCTGACAGAGCTAGAAAAAGACCTCTTCGTATATTATGTTCTCCTAGTAGCACGACACCTTTTGCATTAGTTTGTCGACAAGTAACAGGTGTAGTATTAGGAAAAGAAACACCTCCTCGCACTCATATGATCCTGATACAGAATTGGCAAGTTTTTAAATCGAATGAAAGCTTTGAAATAATTCTGACAGAGCTAGAAAAAGACCTCTTCGTATATTATGTTCTCCTAGTAGCACGACA